TTATTCTTGCTACAAAAAATAATCTCAAAGAAAAATTATTGAATTTCACATACCCTACTATTTTCCGGATTCTTTATAAATATGCCACATGACGTAATTTTACTGAAATACCAATATTTGGTTATCCGTAAAGACATTTAAAACTGTCCGCTGTTTTCTTGTTCTTTAATAAACGTCGCTTTTGCGCATGCGTCAGTTTCATTTTGTTGATATTTAGAAAGAAAGAAAGAAAGAAAGAAAACCGAAACCTGCTGTGGATTACGATTAGGTGTACGAGTAATTTTGGTTGAAGGCATTTTAAGATAAATTATACCTGGAAGTTTATATGGAAAAATGAGCCTTAAGGTGTAATTCAAAATTTTAATTTAAAATAGATTACATTTTCAAAATGAGTAGACGGTGAATTTAATGAAAGTGAATGAAATATTTGATCAATAGCAAATTATAAATTTCTCATAATTATTATAAGCATATACAGAACTTAATTTAGTCTGGCACAAGGCAAAAACTTCAGAGTACCCAGTGAATATTGCAACAGAGTAATGGTCTGGAGTCCAAACTCAGGTTGAGGCAATTGCGTTCATAGGCGCTAATACCTCGGGTCGATGTGTTGTAACCAGACTTGGAGAGAATTTGATTGCAGATAGCCATTTTTTTCGTCATGTGTATGTATCGTGAGAGAAAAGCACACCAACTTCTATCGAATTGATATTCATCACAGAATCTGCATTTAGGGTTAACACAGTTTTTTAGTATGTTTGCTTGGTAATTTCTATTTTTTGTTTTTGTTTTTGTTTTTACAGTAAGGTTCACCCTGTACAAGGCTCGGGAGTTTTGTTTATAATAAACAGTATTAAATACATTTACCGGCCTGAAAGTCTGAGAAATTTCATAGAATATATGTGTCCTCCGACAAGAATCGAACCTGTATCCTACACGGAACCGTCATATAGTCTGACGTGCTATACTATTTACTATACAGTAATTTCACTTCAGTAACTAAACTCTTCCTCTGTAGTTAAATGGACACATATTCTCTATGGAATTTCTCGGACATTCAGGCCGATAAATGTAATTAATACTGTTTAGTATAAACAGAGCATTTACTTAAATATTTGTATCTATAAAAATAACCTATAAACAGAAAATATATTAAAAGATATATTTCATTTTTTTTAAGGTTCGCCTTGTATAAGGTGCAGGGCCACTCAGGTAAGGGGTTACGTTTTGGGATAGTTTATATGAATAGGAGGGAAAGATAACGGTTAAGAGAGAGAAAGCAGAGAGAGAGAAAAAAACAGAGAGAGCGAGAGAAAAGCAGAGCGTTTATATGGATAGGAAGGGAAGATAAACGGTTGACAGAGGGAGTGAGTTGAACAGGTTAAGACTAAGAGTGTAGTGATGTGGGAAACATTCTCTTTGGAGTTGGTTCTACGTAGCAGTGGATCGCGGGAAGAAGCTGTTTGAGTGGAATTTCTCACCATTAGGATACGGAAAAAATGTGAGTGGTTTGCTACAATATGGGAGGCATGGTGGGTCCTACTCGTAAAGGATAGAACTGGCGAAATTATGCTCTAAGAATTTCGATCGTCGGGAATGTGACAAAAAAAAAAAAAAACATATATTTGAGTCGTGCTCCAGCTCTTTGCACGGTCAAAATGTGGAATACGGAGGAAATGTAAGTGGCATGGCGTTAGCAAGCATTGGTCCTGTATCGCAAGAATAAAACCTTCCATTTCAGTTTTTAGTCTTGTAAAACGTAACTACTTATAGGTATACTGTTTTTCTACATCAGATTATGATGATGTTGTTGATGATGATAACAATAATCACGGTGTTGATAATGATAATGATGATGATCATCATCATCATGTTGATGATGATGATGATGATGATGATGATTGTGGTGGTGGTTATGATGATGGTGTTGATTATTATTTTTTTATTTTCTTTGATTTCTGGCGTTTACACATTTCTTTCCGGGTCCCGCCCAGGAAATGGCGTCATGACACTTTCCACTGACAAAAAAAAAAAAAAAAAGAAAATTAAATTACATAGATAAAGCCCTTCGTAAGGTGTGGGCTGTACTTGTCAGAACAATATTTTGTATCTCCTTGAGGCATGGACTTCCAGGAATCCCTTCAATTAGTCTACCGCAATCTTTTCCAACCACTCCTAGGGCTCCAACTGCAACAGGGATTTGTTGATGTTCCCATATGCCACATTTTCGAGATTTCTATTTCAAGGTCCTTGTACTTTGACAACTTTTTGAATATCTTCAAAGATACATTGCAGTCAGCAAGGACTGCCATATCAATAAGGAGGCATCGTTTTTGTTTGTGGTCTTTAATAACAATATCTGGCCGGTTGGCTTGATTGTTCTGTCAGTGTGTATTGTGTAGTCCCATAGAATTGTCACAGGTCCTATCTTCGTAACCGGATCTGGGTGGTGTTCATACCAGTTTCTTTCAGTTTCCTTCCCGTAGAAGTTGCAGATATTCCAGTGCAGATATTGGCCCACTCTGTCATGTCGGGTTTTATATTCAGTGGGTGCTAACACCGTACAACCTGATACAAGATGATCAATCATTTCTGGATATTTATCACAGAATCTGCATTTTGGGCTGACACAATATTTTAGTATATGTGCTTGATAATTCCTAGTTAGCAAGCATTGGTCCTGCGCAGCAAGGATAAAACCTTCAGGTTCCGCTTTCATCCCTGCACTACGTAGCCACTGATGGGTACGGGTTTTGTCTACGTCAGCTTGTTTGGTACGGGCAGAGTATTGGCCATGAAGCGGTTTATCTTGCCATCGCTTCTGTAACTGGTCAGTTGCATTCGTCTTTGCTGTCTTTTTTAGGTATTTTGCAGTTTCAGCCGGTGTATTGTGTTGTAGTTGCATCTCTACGCCCATTTGAAACTCCATTTTGAATTTGTTGGCTTCTTTCATTACGGAGTAAAGACGCTTACTACTTTCATGTTCCTTGACGCATACCATCATCCAGTCTTCTGTGGTTTCCAAATATCTTTGGAGGCCAATTGTTGTAGTTTTGTAGGACAGTTCTAGTTGAACTAATCCTCTGCCTCCTTCGGATCTGGGCACATACAAACGATCGACATCAGCTTTGGGATGATGCATGCGATAGCAAGTGAGAAGCTTTCTCATTTTGGCGTCCATTCGCTTAATTTCAGCTATGGTCCAGTTACGGACATTAAAGCTGTATTGCACCACAGGGACAGCCAATGTGTTTATGGCTGATATCCTGTTTTTTGAGTTTAGCTCAGCATTTACTTCCAGACGTACACGCCTGTAGTACTCTTTTCTTATTTTTTCCTTCATTTGGGGGTGTTGTATGCCATCTCCTTCGCTAATTCCTAGGTACTTATAAGCTTCACCATGCTCCAGTTCCCTAATCTTTGTGACAAAATCTAAATCTATTAAGGGTGTTTCTGTAATTCTACCTTTCTTGAAAGTTACTTTTGCACATTTACCTAATCCGAAGTCCATACCTATGTCGTCACTGAAGTATTTTACAATATTGAGGAGGCCTTTCAACTCATTGTCGTCTTTGGCAAAGAGTTTGAGATCATCCATGTAGAGTAGATGATTGAATATTTTCTTATTTATTTTGTAACCATAGCTACTGTTGTTCAGTTCATGTGTAAGAGGGATTAAGGATAAACAAAACAGAAAGGGTGACAGAGAGTCTCCTTGAAAGATTCCACGTCGGATATTCAAACGGTTGGATATGGCAGTGCCACCGGTGACTAAGGTATAGTTTGGTGTTCCACATTCCCATGCTGTGCTTAAGGAAATTTAATACCACAGGGGAGACTTTGTACATTTCCAAAGTCTTAAGGATCCAAGAATGTGGAACACTATCAAAGGCTTTACGATAATCAATCCACGCTGCACTTAGATTCCTGCGTCGTCTCCTACAATTTTCCAGGATCATTTTATTTATCAGAAGTTGATCTTTGCAGCCATATGAACCTCTTCTGCATCCCTTCTGTTCCAGCGGAAGAATGCTGTTTGTTTCGAGAAACGAATAAGTACGGTTCGTCAGTACAGATGTGATCAACTTATACGTTGTGGAGAGACATGTTCTCAGTCTATAATTTTTCGGGTCGTCTGTTTCAGTTGTTTTTGATATGAGGTGTGTAATACCTTCAGTAATCCATTCCGGGATTTTATTGGGATTATTTACAAGCGTTGATAATGTTTTTGCAAGAATTTCATGGGTAGATGCGTGATGATACAGCCAAAAATTGGGCAACTTGTCATTTCCTGGGGATTTCTATTTTTGGGATTTCGTTAGAGCTTGCCTAACATCATCTGTGGATATATTTTCCCATTCTTGCAGAGGTGTATCCAGCATTCGTTCTTCTTCACGCCGTACCCATTCTGCATTTGGGTTATATTCCTTTGGGCTGCTCCAGATATTTTCCCAAAATGTCTGTACATTATCAATCGATAGTGGCCTTTCGACATGTATAGGTGTTTTTCCAATTTCCCTGTAAAATTTCTTAAGATCTGTTCGGAATATTTTATTTTGGCGATAGAACCTACAACGTTTTTCGTATCGTCTTGTTCTCTGCGCCTTTAGCTGAAGTTTCTGCTTCAGCATTTCCTTGATTGATGGAATATCAATTAGGGATTTAATGTTATATTTCCGCTTGATCTTTTTGAATTTACGTGTGGAAATATTAGGGTTTCTGGTGAGCTCATCTAATATAGAAAACTCACATCTGATTTGTTTTATTTCTCGAATCAGTTTGGTTCTCTGTGTCTGTTAATTTTATTTATTATTATTATTATTTTATTATTATTATTTTCAGATCTGCCTCGATATGATGGTAAATCTTTTTTGAAGTCAGGAACTCTCTTATCTCTCAACTACCCAAACGAAATTAGCGATGAATTTCGAGCACGGCTGTTATTCCCCAAGAACGTCACTCTAAAATTAACCTTTCACGACGTCGGTTTCCTCGAACAAATGCTGTACTTAACTGTTTACAGTTTTCAGGGGAAAAATTGGACGAAATACACGCGATTAGTGTCTGTGAAGAGTAAAAAGGTTTTCCCTAATGCCAAAATATTTGATATTTCCTTACATGCCAAGCGAGTGTGGATAACCTTCACAAGTAAGTGTTCCAACGATGTCTTTTCTTTTTCTTTTCAAATTAATTTGAAACCTTACTTAATCGGCTCGATGTCCTTCCTGTCGAATAACATTACCAGTTCAGAAATATTTAAACTGTCAGCTAAATACAACCATTTCCTAAGATCAATGGTGGATAAAAAGAGCGAATCAACCGTGAAGGCCTTAGTAAAGATCATCCCTATATGAACGTTGTGGACTGGCGCTACAGATTCACAAACAAAGAACTGTACCAAATAACAGAAACCACATCACTTGAGGACTACCAACAGCAGCAACAACTAAAATGGATAGCACATATAACTCGGAGGGAAAATAATGACATAATCAAGACATCCACACTACTTCAAATAAAAGGTTGGAAGGAAAACCCCCATCAGTACTGGAAAGAAGTGATAAGAGATCTTGACAAACCTATCAGGTATTTCCTATTAATTCACCTCTCCAAATTCTCCACTGCCTTAACCAGATATTGAACTTACGCTCTTTGGGTCCTGTCACTGGCTCTAACCAACGCCTTTATCCACTATGCCATGTGTCTTTAAAGACGCATGGCACAGTTGATAAAGGACCCAAAGAGTTGTGAGTTCAATACCTGGTTAAGGCAGTGGAGAACTTGGAGAGGGGAATTAACAGGAGATAACTGATAGCTGACATCCATCAAACATGGCACGTGGAACTAGAACAGTCTACCCCAGCGAGCGAAATAAAGGGTTCAGTTCGACATTCCAACCACCTGAAGAAGTCCGGAGCGTACAACGGCCGAAACGTTGTGATAAATATGGCAACAAAGACGAGGACAATAGTCCGAATAATGTAAACAATGTACATAATACCTCATCTCAGAAATATAGACAGATGAAAAAAAAAACAATTTCTAGACTGGCTGACAATCAAGGCTAGAAAGCCCGAAATACTCTCGGTATTATCTGGGCAGGAGCTGCTCAGTCCTCACTTAAGAGAAAGACTGTTTACATGGGGATTTATATTGAACCCTATCGTCCCTTTCCCCACAAACGTTCCGTTATCGCTACTCTGTTTCCATATCAAATGTTCAAATGAGCGCTCCATTCCTTAGTGTCACCAGTTCAGGCCTTTACCTCTAAGATTCACCGTGCTATGTCCACCTGGTAAACTCACTGTCATTCCATAGGTATTCCACTATTAAGAAGTTTCACCCAGGCATGCTTACGGTCACATCTCTTTTAAAACACCTGTTCCCGTACGATGACCTAAGTTAAGCAACGTCGAGCCTGGTCAATACCTAGTTGTGTGACCGCTTGGGAATACCAGGTCTTGTAAGCTTGAATGTGGTATAATGGATAATGGTTCGAAGTTGTTGATAGCAAAACAGTTCCAATTCCCGTTGGGTTCGTTACGCGCAAAATACCATTGGGAAAAGTATAAATGCATTTCTTCTCCCCTCAGGTATGGGTTAATTAGTAAGACTTTTATGACTAAATCATTATTATCTCCCCAAAATTTCTTACAATCTAAAAATATTTTTTGGCTTTAAATAACCTGCAAAGGGCTGACAAGCCGTAAAAAACGAATCAACTAATCAGTCCACTCAGCTTCTTCCTAAGAACCGCTACTCTGTGGAACAGGCTTCTATGTGGATGCTTTCCGGAGCACGACATTGTTAACCTCTTCAAGGTCACTCGCTATTTAGTTTCGCCCAACGCTGCAAAACCAAAACATCAAGAACTCGAGTTATGTTCTTAGATAGTTTCATCAGTTAGAGACTTTTATGTGAATGCCATGGACGGTGCCAAACGCGTTAATAAATTTCTAAAACTGTCTCCTGTACACAACTGACTTTCAGATCAATGGTTAAAAATGGATTAGAGCTATAGCAAGGACCACACTTCCTCGCAAATTGGCGCTATAGAATCACCAACAAAGAATTGTACCAAATATCAAAAACTACATCATTTGAGGAGTTTCAACAATAGCAACAACTTCAATAGATATCGCATTTTTTTTACAGTAAGGTTCACCCTGTATAAGGCCCGGAGGCCACTCAAGGCAGAGGGCTATGTTAGGAGGCAATTTGTATGGATAGGAAATTAACGGCTAACCTTGGACTTGAACAGGTTAAGATTGTAGCGATCGAGGAAGCATCCTCTTGGGAGTCCATTCCGTAGAGCAACGGTTCGTGTGAAGAAGCTGTTTCAGTGGAACTTACTTCTCACTGATGAAATACGGAGGGAATGTGGGTGGGGTTGCTACAATGTGAGGAGTGGCATGGCGGGTCCTGGCCGAACCAAGAACTAGAAGAGAAAATAATAGCATAATTAAGGTATTGATTTTTTCACACTATTTCCGTCAGTACTGAAAAGAGCAATAACAGCGGACGTGAGAAACCTATTTTCCTCAAAAATTGTTTCAACAGTAACATTTTATAAACTTCAACTGAAAGTAGAACTGGTTTCTCGCTGAATAAATGTCGAATGTATCCTTATAAAGAAACGGGTAATATTATCACAACCATGAGAAGTTAATTAAGATTCATTGTGTCCTTTGCAGGTGAAGAGGTGGGGAAACCACCTTCGACATTTCGCCACTGTCCGGACGGCGACCAGACTTCATCAGACTGCCCACCCGTAGATAAGACACCCTCAGAACCAAAGCCGAAGTCAAAAACCTGGAGTAAGTAGTTTTCATTTTTTTTTGTAAATAAAAAGAATATTGGTTAATTACTGAACAGTTTTAGTCGTTTGATATTTAGTAGGGTGTCCGGAAAGTAATTGCATGTTTCACTGCTATGAAATGAGTCAACCAGTCAGCCAGCCAAGGTTGAAGATATTCACTAACCTCCCGACGCGGTCAGATGTAGGCCGAATTTAATGTGGGGTGAACCGAGCCTGTAGGCTCAGGCAAAAATTCCCCGTAGACCCTGTATACACGAGGTCGGGCAGCTGTCTACAATCCCCATACGAGACTCTGCCCTTCGACATAGTCTCCCCGTAAGCAGAGAGTCTGACAAGCAAACTTAGAAGTGAATTCCACAGTGAATCCATCCAAGGTTAAACGATACGAAACTGCGTCTATAATTAGTTCATTATTTCTTCTATCTGACAGTGTTTCGCTTATAGCGCATTTTAGAATTTAATTCCATGGAGGATGAAACTTTAAAACAACAGCATATTTGCCGTTCCAAAAAGGCAGTATTCCTCGAGAGGCATTTAAGAACACCTGTACAGCGTATACGGATGCGATGTCGTTTATAAGATATTAAAATGCCGATTGTAATACATCCGATAAGCCTCGTTCTGGATGCGATTCGCTCTGGATGAAGCCTCGCTCTAAATATAGAAATTTTGAAAGATACGATTAAACTGGATACACGCCAGAAAGTTAGCATAAATACTTAACGTGTTCACGTTTACCAGAAGCAATTTGAGAAAACTTGAAAAGAGAAAATTAAGGACCATTATGAGCTTTCGCTTCAGAACCGAACACACCATTCCACAATCTCCAGAAACCTGTTAACGACGAATGTTAACTGTTGTGTCGTGTAAATTTCTCACAAGTACGCAGTGTAGTTGATTTATTATTGTAAAAATACAACCACTAGGGAACAAGGCCAAAAAAGAGGGAAGTGGGTTGAGGCTAGTCATCATTAACTATCTTATACCTAGCTAATCTGATTCACGACCTATTCATTCCTTACAAGTAACTCATTCACCGTTCATTCCTGCATATACCACAATACCCCATACTCACACGGGACCTACAGAAAACCCTCATGACGTAAAAATTTCTTATATACAAATGTTCATAGAAATATAATGGCATGAAACAAGGAGGAGGAGGAGATGAATCTCCAAACGAAACTAAAATATAACAAAATATCAAACAGAAAATAACAGATGTTCGTAAGATCCGTCCACCCATAAAAATAACTGTGGCTGCTGTATTCTGGTTTGGTTTGGTTTGATTTGTTTTACTTTACGGCATATCAACCTCAGTGGGTTATTTAATGCCGACAAAATTTTTATTGCTGGTAATAATTTTTTTCAAAAATGTATTGCTGGTAATTTTTTTTTTCAAAAATGTATTGCTGGTAAAAAAAATTTCCAAAAAAGTATTGTGGTATTAATACCTGTTTTATACTTTCATAATGTTTTGACCCCTTTTGGGGGTTAACTATTTGCCCATCAGATTTTTATCACGCCCAGACACTATTGTCTCCACTGTCGATTACTTGTCCTACGGCGATTGTTTGCGATGGACGTTACTCCAAGGAAGCGTACAAAAATTGTAACGCTGCACAAACACACTGACAAGCCTGAACAGTGAGCAAATGAAAGTTTCCCGACTGGCCCGGAAACTCTTCTGATTTAAATCCAATCGATAATCTGTGGTCAGTCTATAAGAAAAAAACTTCGTAAAAGGACATACGACGTACTAGTATGTGCACTGGATCATGTTTCATTGGAAAATACGAAAAAAAGTAAATAATAACGGGATTATTCGTTTTGTTTCAATTAATTTGCACAAGGGTGTACCTCCCAATTTTTGTTGAGAACACAATATAATATAGTTTGATATACGTAGACAACAGAATTATTTTTGTTAGTCAGTTCAGATCTTTGTTGTTGAAGACGTATTCGATAAGCATTGCAAATGCTCCGTGTGCAGCTCCAATTCTGTGTCCCTCACCCTTCTCTGAAAGCCACTGGACTTGAGCCTAAATTTTTTGAAACACAAGCACAAGACCATACCAACTGGCAATATTCCATCACCATCGGAACCAAAAACTTCGAAGCACCAGAAGAAAAAAGAAGTCAAACGACAAGAGAGAAAGGCTTGACAAAATCCACCCCGTCTTCCACCAACATTACTATGCAGTCAATGCCATCGGCCCTTACATGCAAGAATTGGTCTATTTAGTCATCAGTGCCATCATCATAAAGGAAGCGTTCAGAAAAGAAGGAATTAAGTTCTTGCATACGAGATAAAGCCGACGACAATACACATTAAACTATACAAAAAGATATCAATGACTTCAATTTAAAATGTTTTTTGAATTCTTTCTTTTCTGGTGCAAGGTTCCGACACGTAAGTTTTGCGACATATTATTTTGGTTCTGCCAACCAACCCAAATATAGAATCCAAAATTCGCACTTGTGTATCAAATATAAGTGCCGGGATGATTCAATTGTTTCCCACAATTTTTCCCTTTCTATGTAATGGTGCTTTTTGTTACTATAGGATAACACGGCCCTGGTCGCAACGTATATTTTTTTCCACCCTGTGTCACCAGGGTACCCTAAAAATGTAGTTTTTCTTTTGTGTTTTTTTTTTTAGGCATAGTACCCTTATTACTTTTCAGATAATTTTCTCCGTAGCATGATTATTATTTTTTCTAGAAACAATTTCCCGCTTATTTTATACCGGACATAGGCAATCTGTTTTGAACAGTGGGCCGCATAACACACGGTTGATCATAAGGTGGACTGCACTATTAAAAAAAAATTAAGGTAACTTTCCGTTGAAGGCACCTCAGCCATTTTCACTAGAGAAGACCATGCTCGTAGGCATCTGCCTTAAAAATGGTGAAAAGTTTACATTTTTTCTTTGGTGAGAAAAAGATTTTCTTTTCTACAGGGTACGGCAGAAATACCTCCCACATGTACCTCCCTGAAAAACTTCCCACATAATAGTAAGACATTAGTGGCAATGGCGCCTTCAGCTATATGTAGCTACGCCATTATGTGGGAGTTATTTCTCAGGGATATACGCTTAATAAGTCTTAATATAATATTATCACTGATGACAATGTGATTAATACACGCTGCTGCGAGTAATTTGTCTCGAATTTATCCATTTGAAAATACAAAAAATATTTCTTTTAAATTATTATGAACGTTTCCTATTTCTAAAGCAAAAGATGCTTACATATATGATCTTTTTTAGTGTAAATCGTCAATGGTCTAAAATGTTATCGTCAACGAAAGGTTACAAAAATCAATAAACATTGTACTTAACCATTGTTATGTATGAGTGCGAGATAGTGTGAGTGAACAAGTGAGTGTGAAATAAAACAAACAAAATTTTAATAAACATTATTATCCTCATAAAATTAGGTGTGCACATAACTGTTTTATACGCTGGAAATTTCCTACGGACATGGCTATTCCAGATGGCACTTGCATCTGGTAAATAATTCATTGAGAGATTTAGTTAATAATTAAAGAAAGAATGGAAATTCACAGTAAAGTGTCAAGACCTACCAATTCCTAATGCTCTCGCCGAAATCCTACAAATAAATAGTGTTATTTGCAAAGGCCTAGTACTGTAAATCAAACGCTTCATATATGTGAAAAGGCAAAGAATTAACCAGGTAAAAATATATATTTCTAAAATAATTTTCATCTCCACGAAGTGACAAAGAAGTTACTATGTGGTGATAGAATGAAACATCGTATAGCATCTTGCAAGTTTGGTTCTAGAGATTATTGGAGGCTCTACAAGAGTGTGCTGAACAACAAATCCTCGATTTCTCCTCTCTTCAACCAATTCGAAGTTCTTACATCTACAGCAGATAATGTTGAATGCTTTTTTCGGAAATTCTCATCCAACTCAACACTCGACTCATTTGGAGTATCCACAACTGATTCCCCCACACACACCAAGAACTGAGGCGATACTGAGCGATATGTACTTAACCCCCGTCACTGGTCTCGGACATCATTTCTAAATTAGACTCCCATAAGGCAAGCGGAGGTGACGGGATCACAGCCGTCGTCCTAAAAATTGTGCTCCTGATCTGGCTCTAGTTCCCTTCAAACTCTACAACTAATGCTGCTTCCTGCTTTCTAACTTGTTGGAAGTCCTCCTCTGTAGTTCCTGTTTTTAAGAACTCTGGAAAACCTTCTGATGCCTCTATCGACCTATTAGCCTTCTACCGGTTTTTGGCAAAGTATTTGAGGCTTTAAACAATACTGAAGTAGTTAATCATCTTACCTCTCACGACTGACTCTGACAAACAATATGGCTTCCGTTTTGCCAGGTCTACTGCTGATGTGCTAACGGCCATCACTGAATATGTATATCCAGCTCTTCATAATAACGGCGAAGCTCGAGATGTGGCTCTAGATATCGAGAAGGCGATTGGCGATGTTTGGCATGCTGGTCTTCTACGTAAGCTCCAGGGCTATGGTAATGCAGGATTTAATCTAATTGTTCCTATAAAATCGTGAAACGAAGGTCGTTTAGAACGGGCTCGCTTTCAGATCTTTTCACACGAACACGGGTGTCCCCAAGGCTTTATCCTGGGTCCTACACTGTTTCTGATCTTCATTAATGATCTTGATGTCATTAGCTGCCAAGTAGGCATTTATGCAAATGACACTACCATTAACTCCTCTCTCAATAGCAAATTCGTCAGAGCTGACAAAGTTAACCTGACCGCTGCTCTTGAAAAGAATCTCCAATCAGTGGTTAACTGGGGCAGAAAATGGCTTGTAAATTTGAATGCCTCCAAAACGAATCTGCTCTCATTTAACCACTATAGAGAAACTTTCCTGCCTGCAGTCAGTATGGCTGATGCTAGACCCTTGGACAGCAACACAGAAGTGGAACGACTACATTGAATCAACAGTTGAATTCTATAACTTTTGCAACTCT